GTCAGACTAGACCTGTCACATAGAAAGTACATTAACAGCTGCTACCTATGATCGTTATTACTGCTGGCTTCCCTCAAGGCTAGTAATCTATAACCATATCAAAATATTAATTGTGCATTATTATGTAGAATGTCATTTACATTGACATTATGTATTTTATATTAACACTTTGATACAGAAATGTTTATGTCAGAATTTTTCCGAAAGCTAGAATCCTTTATGTTTAGTTTTCCCAGAATAATTCAAGAACTGTTCAAAATATTTTTGTATTATTTTAATCTTTATTATAGGGTTATTTTCCATAGCTTCTTTTTCTTCATTATTGTTTTAGTATAATAGGCCTTTTTGTTAAAAAAAAGTTATTATGTGACAGTTTGGAGTGTTCTTGCTTTGGCATCAGAACTAGAATAGAAAACGCATTTAATGCTATGCTTTTTAAATGTGGATTGGGTAAAGGATAAAATCTTTACTAACCTTTTCATGTAAGAAACTGTAGCCTAACTTAGAATACTATCCAGGATAAACTGATATATTCTTAATCCTATTAGTATCAAGGTCACTTTGTTTGGAATTATCATACTGTATGCTTATACATTGTAGTCTCAAAGGGAGGAAATAGTTTCGTGCTGTGAGTAGGATTTCTTGGATGTCTGTGACCTGCACACTTTGTAATTTTAGAGCCTTTAAAAATCTGATATTTTCATTTTAGGAAGGTAAATTGGTTATTGTGTTGCTGTTTGGGGTCCATTATAATGGCTTTATTTTATTTCTTAGTCCTCCTTATAGCCTGGAAAAAATGACAGATTTCGTCGCTGTTTGGGATGTTGCTTTGAGTGATGGAGTGCACAAGATTGAGTTTGAACATGGGACCACAACAGGCAAACGAGTAGTGTACATAGATGGAAAGGTAAGAAGACACATTGCTCTGTAAAATATGGTTACAGAGAAGCTTGATCTTGTTAATGTAGTTTCTTCGTCGATGAAATCAGCGTTTTTTTCTAACAGTGATTATATTTTTTACTTCAATTACTTTGTTGTATAAAACAAATAAAATAGTAATACAATTCACAAATATAACCTTAAGGTGGCTTTATTTTGTAAAACTTTGTCATTATGAATCAATAAAAGTACATAGAACTCGCTATTTGGCCACTTGGACATTGTATATCATTAATAATATTAAATGTTAATATTTCTTCCACTTGCATGTTTTAAACTTTTATATTTTACTGCATAGGAAGAGATAAGAAAAGAATGGATGTTCAAATTAGTGGGCAAAGAAACCTTCTATGTTGGAGCTTCAAAGACAAAAGCAACCATAAATATAGATGCTATCAGTGGTTTTGCTTATGAGTATACTCTGGAAATTAATGGGAAAAGCCTCAAGAAGTATATGGAAAATAGATCAAAAACTACCAATACATGGGTAATGAACTTGGATGGTGAGGACTTTAGAGTTGTTTTGGGTAAGTGGTGATGTTTCTACAGAGTTTACTGACTTTTTATGATGGCCATTTCACTAGTTCTTCTAACTCTCTAGGCTTTTCTGGAAGCTTTGAGTATGAGAGGGAATGTAAGCTCCGGTTATTTCTCATGTGTCCTGTGTGAACAAATATTCCATCCACTGTTCTGTACATATTATGTGTCTTGGAGCCAGATTTGATAGGAATGGATTTGAGAATTATAAACTTGGGTTTAAAAAAGTAACATTAAAGCTGGCCAGATAGCTCAGCAGACTAAAGCACCTGCTTAGGCAGAGCACAGTGGCTGGAGTTCCATCTTCTGTCCCCAGGGCATGCCCAGAGACAGCAATTGAGACTGGGCATGGTGGCATGTGCCTGTAATCCCAACGCTAAAAACAGGAGAATCACTACGAGTCTGACCTACAAACCTGATCTATGTAGTGAGACCCTGTAGATCCTTTAGACCCTGTACTAAATACAAAAAATAAAAAGTAATATTGATACAGATACAAAATTATTTAATATTTCTCTTTGTAAATATGTCTTGAAGTCACAAATGTAAGATCAGTAAAAGAAGAATTTTCTGTAGGTAGCAGTGAGTAGGACTGCACTAATTCAGTATCATTTAAGTCCAGAAAAAGTAGATTTGTAAAAAAAAAAAGTTGTCTTTTCTCTTTTGCTAACTCCTACTATTTTCTTCTTCTCTTATCTCCAAGTTGACTGTTCAGTCATCTTATTAACTTACTGATTTATTTATTTAGCTATTACCTATTAAATGCCTATAAAACATCCGTTAGCCTCAAGGTGCTGAGGATCTGTAGATGAGAACTTTGTCCTTTGCTTTCACAGAATCCATAGTTTAGTCAGATGCCAGCAAATACTTTTTAAAATGGCAAATGTTTATCAAGTGATAAAAACAACATAACTGAAGAAAAAGCAAAACAAACCCTCAAAACTCCTGCCTATATAGTTTATTGAAGAAACTAATCAATACTGATTTTAAAATATTTTTTTATTATTTTAATCTCTATTGTCTTGAATTTTCTGCTGTCTAGATTCTGCCCATTCACACACATGTGATATTCCTCTTTTCTGTATATCCTACCGTGTGGTAGTTAACTAAAATTTGATCAAATTTAGATTAATTTTTTTTTTCTGGTGAGACTACCTCATAGTTCGCTACGTCATGAAGCACATGGTATTTTTTGTTCTTTTTTCTTTTCATTTTGACAATCATTAATGTCTAGTAGTTGTTAAATAGTGATTTTTTTCTGGTTCTTTTATTCCTTGTTTCTTAGCTGGAATACTTCTATAGTTAGAAATTTTCTGTCATGTATTATATGTTTGGTTATAAAGTGATGCTTTTGTGTAGGAAATCTAAAATAGCTGCTTATTTTAGCCATTACTCTACAGCTTTCAAAATACTAAATTATGTCCTTATCCTCCTCTACAGGTGATCATTCAGATTGTTAAATCATGATTAATTTATGGATTTAAACAGTTTATGTGTTTTAATACATCACAGTCACTATTCTTATTGATGCTTGTGTTGTCTTTTTGGATTAATGTGGGGTTTTTCAGTTGGTTCCTGACATCTCAGTAAACTTTGATGGCCTCCTTCCTGTTTAGTGTGACAGTATGATTCAGGCTATTCTGAACATTTTCTGCCCACACCTGGAATAGCCATTTCTCCAAGAAGCCCCGGTTTCTGTTAGAGGAAAACGCTATTTCAAGAGCACAATCTGATCATGTACTAAAAATGTTCATTCAGTATTTCTAGATTTTTAATGGACAGAGCGAGAGAATTATATACATACATAGTAGGTGGCTGATGAGTGAAGGAAGGGAGAGGGCTTGAGGGGAGACATTTTATTTTTAGATAAAGTATCTTATAGACTTATATTAATACTTATAATTAAGTTCAGGATTATTGAGTTTTGTTTATCTAACATCTTTTCCACACTGAAAAGGTTTTTCAAGGACACAGAGAATAATGGAATTAGAATGTCACATAATTACTCAATTACTCATTACTCATTTGTGTTTTATTTGAAAGTCAGTTTGACCAGATAGAGTATTTCTTTCCTTAAGTATCAATGTGTTGCTCTATCCTCTCCTGGCATAAAGTTGAAAAGCCTGATAACAGTTTGATTTTCCTTCTCTTAAAAATGAGTATTCTGCCTAGATATCCAAAAACATGTTGTCTTTTTCTTTTAAGCCAAGTAGTTTTAGTACAATTAGTAAAACTTCATGTAGTAATGGTCATTTTCAGTTAATTTTCTTAGATAAACAGATAATCTTTCCAATGTGTGTTGTCAATTTTTTTGGAAAGCTTTTTTATAAACTGTACTTTCGTTTTGCCAGATGTGGTGGTGCATTGCCTGTAATGCCAATACTTATGAGTCTGAGGCAGGAGCATCACCATAAGTTCAAGGCCAGCCATGGCTTCATAATGAACTCAATGCGAACCTGAAGTATGTAGTGACGGCATTCTCAAAAAAAAAAAAAAAATCCAAAAAACCCCATAGTTATAGTTTTATGTTGTTCACACTAAGAATTATTTAAAGAAAAAAAAATCTTGCCACCATTATTCATATAAAATTAATCACTTAGTAAAGGTAATAATGTGGGAAAAGACTAAAACATTACCTACTAACCATGAAACCAATAATTCTCCATGTTAAAGAAGTCTAGGACTTACTATGAAGTAAAAGTTGCACATTAACACTTAACAGAACCTATGATAAAACTTTTTCAGGTCTGGCCATATAGCTCAGCAGATTGAAGCATCTGCTTAGGCAGATGCAGGGGCTGGGGTTCCATCCCCATTGTACCATGCCAGCCCTGCCCCCAGAGCATGCTGAGAGGCAATGAGACTGGGCGTGGTGGCTACACACTTATAATCCCAGCGCTTGGGAGGCTGAAAACAGGAGAATCACTGAGTCCAATCTGTCTAGTAAGACCCTGTAGACCCTGTACTAAATTAAATAAGTACAATTTTTCAGTTTTAGTATATAGTCTTGTGAATTTTAGCAAGTCAGTTTTCATCTATTACTTCTTCAAATACTTTTTTTAAATATCATATTATTTCTCCTGCCCTTCTAGGATACAAACATTAGGCCTGGCACTGTTGGTCCCAATTCTTTAAATTGCAGGCTCACTCACCTATACTGTGACTGCCCCTGTTTTACTATCCAGACTGGGAAAGCTTACTGACCTGTCTTGTGGTTACTGATTCCTCTGTCTTCTTTCTTCTCTTACCAAGTCCCTCCAGTGATTTTACTAGGTTTATTGTACTTTTCAGTTCCAAAATTTTATTTCTCTTTATCTTTTATTACTTTGCCGATACTGTTAGCCTAACATTTGTTGGAGTGTTTACAGTTGTTCAATCATTTTTATAATAAGTTTAAAATCTTTGTCAGCAGTGATTGCCTTAGTCACTTTTCTCATTGCTAGGACAAAATACCTGACACCCTCAACTTGAAGGAAGAGAGATTTATCTCTTGTTTTACAAATGTTAGTCCTTGCATGTTCAGCTGCATAGTTAAAGGGCCTAGGTGGAGAATAATAATATTAATTCAATACCATTATAATGGTTTATATCTGGTTGCCCTTCAAAAGCCTCATGCACCCAAAGGAGAGGCCCTTGATACTGTCCATGGGTTTTTAGGTTTTTATTGCTCTTTCTGCCTTAATGAGAAAACTTGAAGAAACTGAAAAATCATGCTGCTATTACCACTACCGCTGTTTCCTTGGCAATTGTAAATTTACTTCATCCCCATTGCATAAGGTTTGGCTATAAACTCTCCAACTTTCCATCTCTCAACCTGTATCTCCTTTGTTTTGCCCAAGCAAATAGTATTTGTATTTATTCTGAAACTATTATTAAGTCTTGTGTTTTTCTAGGTTTGTTCTAACATTAAAAGCCAATACATAACATTTATAATTGTGATTATGTAATTATCTTTATATAGTGGATTGTGATTGTACTATTCCTCTATTTTACTGTTGAACCTTCTCTGCCATTCATAAGAAGTTAGGTTGAATCTCAAAGCCAATGTCTTTCAGGAATCCTTTAGTTTTCCCACTTATTAAACCGTGTAGCTCCCACTTTTATCTTTGTTCACCAGAATATATTCTTAAGTAACTTTTCCCACTCTCTGCAAGATAAACATTACTTGGTATCCAAGCTAAGTGGATATTTGTGCTAAGTACAGAATTTTAACTTCAAAATAATTTTCTCTCAGAATTTATGAAAGCTATATTCCAGTGTCTTCTATCCTTCATTGCCTTAAATGACAAGTTTTATGGCCATCTGAATCTCATTATTTGGTTTTCTTTCTTGATGATTTTAGGAGCTATCATATCCATTATTTTTCCAAATGTCACACTGATGTGGTTAGGAATGTGGTGACTCAATCTACAATAAAGTTTCAGAACCATTGTATCTCATTACTTAATAATGGAAACTTAAATTTTGAAAGGATCAGAATTTGTGTCAACACATTTAAACACAAGGGGCTTTTACCGATGAGGGAAAAAGCCTTTACAGTAATTGTAGGCATTTGATCAACTAACTTAACTATTTTGCCAACATTATAAAACAATTGATACTAACTTTTTATAGGGAAAATGGAGAGACTGCCTAAGGTAGGCCTACTTTAGTTAATTCTCTTTTAAACTTTCAGGGGCCTGCTTACCCTCTTGTGAATTCAGTCAGGCCTTTAAAATCTATGTTTTCTCCTTCAATTCTGTCTTTGTTCTTTTCTCTCACTACTGAAACAAAATACCTGACACTCAAAATTAAGGGAGGAAAGAAAGGTTTATTTAGTTTACAGTTTGAAGTTTCAGTCCATAATCAGCTGGCTCCAAAGCAGGGTGGCACATGGCAGAGGGGCACCTGTTCATAGTGGCCGGGGTAGCAAAGGATAGCAAAAGCAACAAGAGCAAAACGGGCAAAAGGGAGGAGCAAGCCTCTTTCCCTCCCTTATATGTATGCAGGCTACCTGCCCTAGGACAGGTGTCGCACTCATATCCCCAATCCCAGCAGTAGACAATGAACAAACCACAAACTCTAGGTTCAGTTGCCTCCAAAAAGCCCCTTGCCCCATGACCAAATGAGGCTTGGTGGGGGAGGATCCAGACACAAACCATGACATGCTTATCTGCTTTTACTCCTGTGTTCCTTATGATGAGCCTGGAAGGGAGACAAAGTTCAAACCAAACTTGCTCCTTTTTGCTGTCTGAAGGCAGAGTCATTTACAAAATTGCCTAAGGGATTCATATTGTCTGGGGTTCTAGTTGTAAGTTCCACTGAGTCCCAGACTACAGTGTTCTGAGCCTGACATTTGATTAGTGATGAAGAATGCAGGCTTCAGAGTCAGAGCTGTGCAGTGAGCAAGTTATTTAAACTCTGAGCTTTGGTTTCCCTTTCTGTAAAGTGAGTTATATGGATAAGGTTTAATTGAGTTAGTATACGTAAAATACTTAGCAGTGTATTTCACGTAGTGAATTCTTTCAAAATAATATTTGCAGTTTTTGTTATTTGTGGACAAAAAATGGGCTTCCCTAGAATCTTATGGTAAAACACACACACACACACACACACACACACACACAGGCCACAAAAAGCTTTTGATAACAAAAAAATTACTGAGGTCTTATTTTGTGCTAACTACTATTGTAGACACTACATAAATGAGTCCTAACCATTATTATTCCCAGCCTATAAGAAAAGTGCTATTGTCTTCATTTATCTATAAAGAAATGTAGGCCAAAGTGGTAGTACTAGTAAAGAATAAAATTGGATAGCTCAGCGGATTAAAGCACCTGCAAGCAGGCTCAAGGGCCAGGGTAGGGTTTGATCCCCAGGCCTGCAGTGCTGGCCCCGCCCACAGGTCGAGCTGAGATGGCAGTTGAGACTGGGCGTGGTGGTGTGCACCTGTAATCCCAGCTCTTGGGAGGCTATAAAAAGGGGGATCACTACAATTCGGATCTAGCAGTGAGACCCTGAATGCCCTGTAGACCCTTTCCTAAAATACAAAAAAAAAAAAGAAAAGAATAAAATTGGAATATGACCCCCAAAGATTATGTACATTTTTGTTTAGCATTGTTAAAACATAAGATATCTCAGAGAATTGAAGATAGCATTGACTAGAATCTTTAGGTCTGGTAGTAGACACATGGTGAATAATTTGGGAGGAAAATAAGACAGCAGGGGAACAGTAATATTTGAAGAAAGTTCTCTTTGGGGGAAATTCTTTCTGTTCTGAAAACTTTCACTTCTCAGGAAATGTTTATAGAACATGCGTGCTTAGGACTCACCTGTGGAGTCCCTGGCTGTGGGTCTGGGAGCCAAGGGAATGTGTAAGCCAGTAGAGGAAGGGTGCCCACGTGAGTGTGCCCTGGGGCCGCCATCATTTGTCCAGGGCACTGCTAAACTGAAAGGGAGTTGATACTCTTCTCATTTTCAATAAGTCACCTGCTTGTGTGATTCAGAAATCACAATGGTATAAAAAGATATGTTGAGAAATCTGCTTCCATCCCTGCTATCATCCCCTCTGTTTTTCCCACCTCCATAAAAACAGCCTTTTT